TCATTTTCTTTGCATTTGCCAGGTATAAATCTCAGACTGTATACAACATGGACGTACTCTCACTGATGTCAAACACTGATTTCTGAAGAGGCATTTTAAAGCTGATTGTTGGCAGTTGAATTTGGGAAATGATAAACTTTTCGATCAGTCTAGCAACAGGTAACGGGCCTCAAGCCTCCTGGAAAACAGCTACAACGCACGCACCTGTCAGTCAAGTCAGAAGCACCTCTAATTATGTTTATTTATTCAAAATGATCATCTTTAATTGAATCAAAGGGAATGTGTTGTAAATTCACCTCAGTACAGTTTTTACCAGGCTGTAACCGTGTTTATTTCTTGCTGTAAAAATGGACATTTTAATAACGGTCTTAATGGGGATCCCTTGACTTTTGCAGCCAGCCTCAAGTGGACACTCAAGGAACTGCAGCTTTTGTTTGTTTATTTTGCATTGCCTTTAATGTTACAGGTTGCAGCTCAATGTTTACACAAAAGAGGTGAACTTGGAAGTTAAACAGCTTATGACTTGCAAAAGGCCTTTGAAGTAGTGTTACATTATGTTTTATGACTTGTGGAAATGCAAACATATTGTGAAACGTCTTGCATCTGTGGCTGTTTTGAGTGGACTTTTATTTTCATAAGACTACCTCAGACGGGTCGACGTTTCTTAACTGCGCAGTACAGAGGCTGTCTTTGCAGAATGTGTGATGGTTTGTGTGTTAACAGCTCTACTCTGTCACTGTTCTCAGGGAAATCTGTCACATGATAACACACTAACAAGCTGCCCTGCGGCTCTTGTTCTTATCTCCTTTGGATGTAAACATTACCACATCAAAGAACAGCGTTGTGTTTGTGTCCAACAGAGTCAAAAGTTTACACTACACGGGCGGACGCAGGATATCGATGAGATAACACTGTTTGACCTTTCACCCTTATTAACCTACAGATACATATAAATAAAACACTTTAGGCGTGGCTCTGATCTGTGGAGTGTGTCCCACCTGTGTGAGGGTGTTGGTCTGCTGCTGGAGGTTCTGCTGAGGGGGCGGGGCCTGCTGCTGGATGGTGAGCTGCTGAGTTCCTGAATGGACGGGGTTAATTGTTGTTTGCTGGACTTGATTGGTCAGAGTCGTCGTCTGTTGGACCTGCCCCACCTGCGGGAGCTGTACGTTCATCGCTCCGCCTTGCTGCTGCAGCAACATCTGCCAAGAAGGAAACGTCAGGACACAGCGGTTAGCAGGAACTCATCTTTGTTTTTCTATTTTATCTTAATATGTTATGATTTACTGAAGCTGTTTTCACAGAGAACTCTCCAGATAATATCCTGCTGTGCGGAAATAACACTAGGGGGCCGGCAGGAGAGTCTGAGTGAAAAATGTGGCTGTTTGCGTTCACACAGGAGTTTTCTGCAAGTGTGAAAGCCCTTCAAGGAGTAAGATCTCTTTACACATTCAGGTGGTGCCGTTTTCTCCGAATAGAACAAAAAAGAATATATTATGCATGACTCCTGTGCTGATCTAGGTCAGGCAAAGCCAGGTTGAACACAAAGAAGAGATCAAAGCACTAAAAAAAAATAACGAGGGGTTGCATACTTTTCAATTCAAATAAGATATGTTGAATATCCTGAATGCCACTGCTACACTTCACTGCTTTACAATGAAGCTAAAAAGGTTAGTATGCCATAAATCCATAAGTAAGAAAACCTCTTTCAGAAAACTAACAAACCCCTCTTGTTTATTTTATGACACCATTAGCGCTATTTAGCTTTATAAAGGTAGGATTAAGTTACACTCAGTACCCAGAGACTGAAAAACGACGAGAGAGTCATACCTGTATGCCCGTTCCCTGCACTTTCTGCAGCTGATCCTGGATGTGTCTCAGCTCCTCCTGCTGACGCTGGATGTTAGCCTGGATCAGTCTCGTCCTCTGCTCCAGCTGGTCCTTCAGATGCTGCATGGCGTTCACCTGGGCGGAGAACTCCATCACCGGCTGTGGGTGAGAGAGAGAGAGAGAGAGACAGAACGGGTCAGTTAGTGTAATGACTGTGTGTGCATGCAGAGTGCAGACGGGATGTGCGTGACATCCCAACCTAAATACATTAATATAATATTTATAATATATTTAAATTAAAAACCCTGTGGGGATAGAATCATTCTCACCTGTACGTTTGTCTGTAGCTGCTGTGGTTGTTGCTGTTGTTGTTGTTGCTGCTGTTGTTGTTGTTGTTGTTGCTGTTGTTGTTGCTGTTGTTGCTGCTGCTGCTGCTGCTGCTGTTGTTGTTGTTGTTGTTGTTGCTGCTGCTGCTGTTGTTGTTGTTGAGTGATCATACTTGGAGTTACACTCTGCCCTGTGGTCTGAGAGCTCATAGACTGAAAACAAAGAAATTTTTGAGAGAATTAAAGCGTGCAAGTTAATGAATTTCTGTACCACATTCTCATCTGAAGAAACACAACGTCCATGATTACAACGAGTGGAGTCCTCACCTGGCTGCTGATGGATGAGCGGCGCTGCGAGATCTCCATGGTGGAGGCCAGGGACTGGCGTGGGGGCGTGGCCGTGTCCATGTGTAGCCTGGAGGCCGTTGCTGCACACAAGAGTCATTGATGATTAAGAATCACAGTCAGGCCATGCTCATGATGTCATACCTTCTTTTCTGCAGAGCTTCATCATCCCTTTTGTTTTTTTTTTAATTGTTATAACTCATTTTGTACATGAACAACGTGCAGCGTGTAAGTATGTGCGGGTCCTTACACGTGCAAGTGTTGTCAGAGATGTGCGATGAGGACTTGTGGGAACTCCGCGATGAGGTCGATGGTGTGCGGCTGCGGTCGAATCTCTCCAGAGCCTCTTTGAGGCTTGACGTGTTCAACTGTGACTCGGAGCCAGAGTCCTGACTCTGAAAAAAACAAACAGAGGAAAAAAATCAACACATGACGGGCCAAAAAGAGTCATTTACTGTCCGAATGTTTCATCTTATCTTGATGTAATCAGTGACCGAAAAGGATTCCAACATCAGAGAACAACAGTCACTGTGTCAGAGATTTGTTGAGCTGTGTGTTAAAGTTAATGGATAACAAAAAGAACAACAACTTTCTACTTCCTGTTGGAGGAGTCAGTCCACATTAGAGACTGATTTTTGCAAAAAAAAAAAAAAAAAAAGGCAAACATTTTTTCTCACCTTATCTGCAGTAACTTCTGGGTTTGCTTCCTCAATACCCAGCTCTCTGCGCTGCTCTGCCCTCACCTCTGCATAGCTGCGTGGACGACAACAAAGGGAGGTGAAGAAGCAAAAAGGTGGTGCATAGGAGAGAGCTACATTTCAAAATGCTGTGTACCAGAATACCAGAAGCTTTTCTTTTTATTATAATGGATTCTTAGCATCGGTTTGCTAACGTGTAATGAAAAATAAAAATAAGCCGGACAGTGTACCATCAGGAAACAGGTGCAGAGAAAAAAGTGAGCTAGCATACCTGACTACTGTGTGCGTGCAGACGATGAACTCAGGCCGAGAGTTCCACTGGTGGTAGGTGATGTAGTAGTGCGTTTGGAGCCAAATCCACTGTTGACCTTTAGTCAGGAAACGGTAGTAGCAAGACTTCCCTTTACCGTACTGCATCACTGAACAGGCAAGAGACAAGAGCGGAGAAGTTACAAACAACAAGTAGACGAAAGTGTATCCAAAAAAATAAAACTCTTAAAGTGAAAGTGTGAAAAACTCCCTCACAGTGCTCATGACACTTGGCTAGTGTCTCCAGGTCGTCCACGTGGTAATAGTCGTACCCTGATGTTCCCAGAACTTCGAAAGGCAGGTATCCTATGATTGGAGGAGCTCTGCAAGGGAGAAAACATAAACATCCAGGTGAATCAAAATGTTTATATAGCCAATAAATGTCAGTTATTTCAATGTGATGGTCGATGAATACTGAATGAATCTCATATGACGGGTTGTCTCGCTTTAACTTCCAGTGAGTATAAAGACAGGAGAACCACTTCTGCAGCGGTGCCTGGATTGAAAAGTGGCTGATGGTATGCGGCTAAAGGGCAGCGGCATTTGCCCATCACTCGACTGGTGTGTGGATCTTTACAGTGGTGTGCCACGCGTCTAGCACCACCTATGTTCCAAATGTGAATGAACACCACTGATCTTGGATTGTACATGTACCTGTTCTGCAGTAGATTTTTCAAAAATCTTTTGGTTACCATCAGTGATGACAGAAGAGTAAAAAAAAAAAAAAAAGAACTCCGTAGCCGTATCTGTGCCGATGTAACCACAGAGCTCAATTCTGAGTTGCCGTTTCTGATAGGACCTCAGAAACGCCCCCATGAAGTCGCAATTCCGACTTGGAAACTCAAGAGGACGTTCAGTAGCCTGAGCTAAAATCCAACATGGCTGCTACATGCTGTAACTATGGTGATAAGAAGCAATGTCGTCCTTTTTTTTTTTTTTTTAATCTAATTAAATCAATCACACCGATAGTATCGTGCAAGTTCTGTCTGTGGACTATCACGCAGTGTGTCGTTATCGCCTAGTCTTAACTAACAAAACAAAGGCCTCCTGGAGGCGTCCCATTTGTTGCCAACTCGTAACAGGAATGCGGTTATCTTGCGCGTGACGTCATGCTCAGCTCCGAGACACGAGGTCGCATCCTGGAACGCAACATTAGCCGAGCCTCTGTGGCCGGTCAGAAAGAACCTGATCCCACTTTGCATCATAGAAACGTCTGCCTTATGAAAACCGTTTGAAAGGCTTTTTTTATCAACAGAGCTTTGATCATTTAAATCGGCACACTTACTGCAGTAAAGATCACTATTTGTTCACTATTTTGTTTCCTTTCACTTCCTCTTTTTTCCTACTGCACCTCCTTTAGGACGCTTACTGGTTTCTCACTCTCTCCTCTCCCCATTGATTGGTTGCCGTTTGCACTCTGTCACTAATTAATTAGATTGAATTCACCTGCCTACTCCTGATTTAAGCCTGCACTCCCTTACACTCATGTTTTCATCCTCACATGAGGTGACAGTTCAGCAATGGTAAGTTACTATTTAGTCCATTTTGATTTGTCCTAAGCACTTTATTTATCTTTATTTCCTTTCAGAAAGTAATGTGATTTGACTTGTTCATTGTACTAATAGTATTTTATTTTGTCTTTCAGCATGGATGATTCAGTCCCATGTGTGTCTTCTGTTACCCTTATGATTCACCTGACTTGAAAGAAATAAACCTGTTACATAAAAATCAAGTCTTGTTGGATTCCTGCATCCTGACCCGATGCCCCCATGGTGATAGCACCTCAAATCTGAACCCTTCTTAACACTCATGATTGGCTCAGACATTGTGCTGCATGTTTTGATTGCACCTAATTTTTTTCCGTTTCCCTGTAATTTCATTCAAGCGGTAGAGAACGGCACATGCTGCTGGTATTAGATGACGCATGTCGGTGAGATATGCGGCTGTCCCTCTAATGGCATGCCATCGGCCTCTTTCTACGACCTCGCCAACACTCTCCTCCACATCTGCGAGTTGCCTGGCAACATGAGAAGCCATGAAAGAGCTCAACGTGTGTTTGTACCTGTGGTCTAAAAAGAGGAACTTCCATTCCAGACTGTGCCTAGACGTGAACTCTTCATTGGGCTCCTCCACTGTACACATCTCCTGTGAAGGTAAGGGGGGAGGGGGGAGGGGGAGGGGGGGAGACACACAGATGACGAAAGTCTGACTAATGTACGACTCAAGTGTGATTTAATTTGCATAATGTGGGTGTGTTTGTCAGGGTACCTTGATAAACTGAGGTTTGGCCAGGCGTACAGTGGCTACAAAGCACACCTGGTCATCGAACGCAGGCTGAAGTGATCTCTGCAACACCCCCGCTAGACCGTTCCTCGTCATGTTGGGGACTGCACAACAAAGAACAGAGCAGGGTTTGGTTGAACACACCGGCTTGTCACACTGAATAAGAAATGGATGATTAATTTAGTGAAGAATTCAAATAAATAATAATACCTGACGTACCGTTGTTGAGAGACTTAAAGTTGCCAATGAACTTGACATATTCATAGACCGGGGGCTCTTTGGGGTCAATGGCCCCTCGCAGCATATGGCAGCAGAACTCCATGTGGTTCTTAGCTGGAGAAACCAGAACGATAAACGATACACTTAGACACACACACACAAGGTGAATTTTCAGGGGTCATCGTGCATCAAGTACAGTGTAGTATAACTCGGGGTGTTACTGACTCTTCATGTAATCCGTGCTAAGGCTCTCAGGGTCAGTGGGGTGTGTCGACAGAGCCTTGTAGACCTCGGAGTGTTCCCCGACAGGCAGGAAGTTTAAAAGGTTCTGGTCCACTAAGTCCATCTGTGGAGCACACACACACACACAAATCAGTTCACTTGTCCAAAACCCTTTTTTGTCTTGCACACACACACTAATCATGGTTGAAGTCTGTGTTTTCACTGTGCTCAACAAACACTTGTTATCATCAGTAGTAGTGTTGTCACAATGGCAGATTTTAAAACTCGTCGCCCCAAGAGTAAAACGAACATTTTAACAAAACTTACTGACTAGATATAGTCTGCTTTAGAACGGAAATTCACTCTTCTGACTTCTTCATGATTAAATATCACAAATCTGCATGTAGTGTATTTGTTCAAAATCGTTGGGATATTTAAAACATCAAAAGCTGATGCATTAAGACCTCTGTCAACCAAATACACACAGCTGTATTTCTAGCACCATCTTGAGATGTCTCAACAGGTTTCAGATTACATGATAATATAATAAATGGACTTGAGCTTGTACATTTATTTTCTAGTCTTCTGACAACTCGAAGCGCTTTTTACACCGCAGGTCACACCTACACATTCACACACTGATGGTAGAGGCTGCTTTGTAGTGAGACCATCAGAAGTTAATAATCCCATTCATACACCGCCATTGCAGCAGCTGGAGCAATTAGGGTTAAGTGTCAAACCCTTGACCTTCCAGTTGAAGGACAGACTCTACCAACTGAGCCACAGCAGCAACACTACAGCTCTGTTGGGCAACCAGAGAATAAATCTTCATGGAGGCAAATAAGACTGTGAACAAACACATCTGGACTGATCTAAACAGATCTCAACATGGGTAAAGAAAATAAATCCATGACATGGAGTCAGGGTTCGATCGGTACAACCTTCACCTTCTGCCAAAAGAAAAACTAAAATAACCCGATGATGTGATTGCAAACACAACTGAAGTGAGTTGGACTGCCTGACAGGAGGGACATCTTAGTCCATAACCAATAATAGAAAGAACAAAATGTTTCTTACCGGTAAGTGTTCTAGTAAAGAGGTGACACTCTCGGAGATGTAGAGGATGTTCCCGTCAGTCATTATTGCTATAAAGAACCCATCCAGAGCCTGGTGAGGAAGGGAAGATAAAGACAACTAAATTGTGCGTCCACACAGCTATTAAAGTAAATTACTATAATCAGTCAGCTTTAGAACAAACATCAGATGAAAATGGTACAGAAGCATTTTCATTCCTCTTTGAATACAAAGGGTTGAATTTGAAACAAACTCGTTCCTGGTCGTGAGCAGGCGTTAACGTAACGGAGTCAATACATCTAAAAACAGAATAAAAGGTACACATATGATATTTCTGACCTCCAGCATGAGCTGGGTAAACTCCTCATTGCTAAGAAATGGAGGCTTCCAGTCCTGCCTGATTTCACTGGACTCCGACTGGGCTGCGATCTCTGCAGGAGGGGGAAAGGAAAAAGCTAATGTTACTTTTCAGAAGCAACAGGACAACACAGAGTCAGCATGGAGAGACAACAATGAGGGAACACAGGACGACAAGGTAGAGAAACTGTCTGCATGGTTACAAGGCTCAGTGAGAAAACAAGGCAGTTAAACAGATCGCCAGATAACACAGTCCACCGGGGAAGTGTCAGCTGATACAGAGCGTCCATGCATGGCAGTGATAAGAACTAGGATTAAAAAAAACAAACATTTGAGCCGCCGAAGAGAATCCCAGTGTTCAACAAGGATTAGTGGATATAGAGCAGCTAAATCTCAGAATACAAGTAAAGCAATATTATTCATTCTGATAAGGGCTGTCGAATGATTTGATATTTCCATTTCAAATTTTAAAAATGTTTTTTGCCATGGGGGGAATTCAAAGTCTCATCGAGCAGTAGCATGAAGAAATAATGAGCAGCAAAGACAATCTTGGGAGATTTTAAATCGATTCATAACTTCTAAAAATCGATTTCTCTTTTGGGCTAATCAGTCACTCCCTGCTAAGTGCTAATGCTAAAATAGAGCAGCAAGAAATTCAGCCAGTCAAGAGATGACTGGAGTAGATCCTGAAGTATGTACTCATTCAAAAATAGATTTTGAATCATGAATCCAGAATCGATTTGAATCAAAAATAGATTCTGAATCGAATGGTGACCCCGAAAGTCGAAATTGAATGGTGAGACACCCAAAGGTTCCCAGCCCTATTCTCAGCAGTAAAGAACAGCTGTTGTAGTGAATACTGTGCAGGACGTGGTCGTTATCCAAAATCAATGTACATCACGACAGGTTCTGTATTGTGGCCTCTGTATCCTGATACGTATCGCAGTGGTTCTCAACTCATCTAGCCTCAGGACCCACCACCCAAATTTCAGATATTTTTCAAACAATCACATTTATTTGCTGAATAATTGTGCAGTTTGGATCTCAGCAAGAAACTGAACAAAGCAAATGTGTTTAAAAGGCGCTTCCACGGACTTGTTTACACAAGTTTTTGTTTTTTTCCAGGCACACATTCGCGACCCACTGAAAATGGCTCCACGACCCACCTGTTGAGAACGACTGAGGTATCGTATTGTGGGGTTGTGGGAAATACCAAATACCCCCGATCTATGAATATGAGGTAGTTAGCATGAGTTTTATCTGACTGCATCAAAATGGTTAGAAAGCATTGCCACAATATCCCGACATTCATCCGATGTACTCATGATGGGTAGGAAAGCACTTTCCTTACTTGTTGCGATAAACTCAAACGTATGCATGCTCATGAATTGCGATCACAATGAAGAACAAATGTGCAGACATTGTAGAGTGGATGATGCACGCTGTGAGGTATTAGAACCGGGAGTGAGGAGAAGAAAGTAAAAAAGAAAAAAAGGCTCCACCTTTGTGTTTACACAGGAAGTCGATGCTTTTCTGCAGGATGGTGGACTTATCCATCTTCCTGGTGTTGCCAGGCAACATGGTGCCGAGTTCCTTGATGAGGACATTGAACTGGTCTCTCCGTTTCTTCTCAGACTTGTTTCGGGACACACTGAAATGAAAACCAGCGGTCGTGGATCGTATTTTTAAAATGTGGCACAGTCGTACTCGAGAGGAGATTGTTTTGGTTAAATAACAGCGTAAACATTTGTGTCATTTGACCCTCAACATGCTTATTTAGACTCTGTGGCTGTTTATGTTTTTTTAAATTGTTCAGGCATGAGTCACCATCTCCAAAAAACAATGTGAGACAAACACCAAGCGCAGCGCCAGCTCATTCCTCGGTACATGCTGCTTACCGTTTTGCTTTGTCCTTTTCATCTTCTTCCATCAACCCATCAAAGATACTACAATCATCCCTACAGGAGGAGAGAGAAGAAATATTTAAACTCTCTCCCGGGCTTATTGCGCTCTCCTGTCTGTGCGTGTGTGTGTGTGTGTGTGTGGCGGCTTTGAAAGCAGATATGTTTTTTTGTTAATAATAGAATGACGGACGCTGGCTAATGAGAGGATTCCTACATGCCAGGAGCACGTTTATTTTTGGGTCACACAAAAGAGAGAGAGAGGAAGAGAGAGAGGAAGAGAGGGGAGGAATGTGCTTTGCTTGCCAAGAAGGTTACCAGTGCATTTGTGTAACAGGGCGTGATCTTGCCAGCGTTACCCAGTAATATAGGTCAATACAAATGCTTTGGTTTTCCCCGATGGATGACATCTGGAAGAGGGATTTTTTGGGGGGGAGGTATTTCATATCAAAAGACGCAGAAAAAAAAATGTCTTGTCTAAAGATTTTTGTTGACTGTGTCATGCTATTTGATATCAACCATTATTTATTACAATCATCACATTGAGGTTAAACAATTCAAAACAATTATAATCAAATCATATTTCTAATTATAACAAAATCAAAATAATGTCATTATAAAACACTAATGGGACATTATAAAGGAGCATTTGTTCCATTAGCACAATAATAACTGGATTTAATAAGCGTTAACAAATCAACACGAGAACAAACTGAACATGTTTCAGACTTGTGTTGAGGAATGAAGAAAAAGGTGGTCACTTTAAAACTTGTACAATGGCTGTAATTTTAATAATTAATATAATGGAGAAGTGTCAAAGCATTAAAAAAACCCTTCAGATCATCAGTCGTATTTGTAACATAATCAACAGAATGTGACAAAGAGAGAGAGATGTTTGAGTTTTTGAAAATTCATTATTCAGATAAAAATGAATTACATTCCCAAAGTTTTTTAAAATACTTTCACAGACTACAATATCACTAAAAAAAACGATTTACATTAAAACATCTGTATATGATTCAGACGAGGAAGTACACCTTCATAATCCGGCTTTTTTTTTTTTTTTTTTTTTTTACATCCCAACTCTTCCATTTTAC